ATGTATATCTGTATGAATGTATGAATGTGCATGTGTATGTGTGTGCATGTGTGTGTGTGTTTGTTTGTGCTTGTGTGTGTTTGTGTGTTTATGTGTGCGTATGTGTGTAGTATATATATATATATATATATAATATATATATATATATATATATATATATATATATATATGTGTGTGTGTGTGTGTGTGTGTGTGTGTGTGTGTGTGTGTGTTTGTGCATGTGTGTATGTGTTTGTGTGTGTGTGTGTGTGTGTGTGTGTGTGTATACATACATACATACATACATACATACATACATACACACATGCAAATGTATATTATATTATTATATATATATATTTATATATATATAATTGTACATATATATAATCTGTAACATACATATATATATATGTTACATATCAATCTATGAATCTTTCCATCAGTTTAGTTCTACGTACCTCCTTTCTCTCACAACTTGGAAAAAAGCAAATAAACTTATTAAGCAGGAAGCAGGCAAAATTAACTATTGAGCCGGTGATCAAATTTTTAAATAACTTATTCTATATGTTAGTGAACATTTTCTGTTTCACCAATTTTGAAACACTCTAAAGATTTCACCGAACAGAGCAATCTAGACTTGATCCACGATCCATCCAAAGTAATATCTAAACACCGCAAAGCTCCCGCCGCCGTCATCAGTAACACGGGTTCTCTAACAGCTCACTCCTCGTAACCAGATCTTATTACCAGTACTCACACAACAGTTATGGCTCAAGCGAAACTTGCTGAGAACACGTTCTCAGGGGGTGCCTTTTTTGTTTGACGAAATCTCCGCCTTTGAACAACAAATACCTCACAATAGAACGTCTCACAGCACATGCTTGACAAGGCAGAGAAATAGCTCGATGCTCATTACTTTCCGATCACTAATGTGCAATCGTGCGAGATCAATAAGCAAACTTCCGATGTGTCCATACAAGTATCCCCGAAGCCGTGATTCGCTCAATGGCCAGGCACTGGGCGATACCATCATTTCTAGATTAGCCAGCAGTGGGGGAAAATACAATATCTGAGCAGGAGCCATTTCTGGCGGCCAGAATAATATTATTATTATTGATATGATTGTGAGTGCAATGTCAACAATTGGTCGATGATGACTCATGACGTCAGCGACGGGGATAAGACCAGTGATGATGGTGTGGTGTTGATGGACTGAGGTAATCAACATCATCATCATATTTGGTTAAAAAACAGAATAGGTAGGAAGAGTTGCTTGAATTTCAGACAAAAAAATATAAATATAAAATGTTTAAAATTTGTTTTATTTCATCGGCTCGACGTTTCGCCACGTAGGCTTCCCCAGGAGCAACTCTATCATCATCATTGTATTTTTTTAAAAGAGTAGCTAGGAAGAGTCTAGATAGATTTTCAGACAGAAAATATAAATATAGATAAAGAAAACTTTCTGTTTATTAAATTTGCTCAATATTTCGCCACGAAAACTTACTAGGAGAAGCTACAGGGAATAAGACAAACTTGTTAACAAATGCAGATTTTACGGGAAAGGAAATCGTCGGTGCTGCAAGCATTTCGCTTAAAGTTCGTTTGGGTACTTTTTACATCAGAGATAAAGATTTATTTTTTTGTTGTTGTTTCTATAGGGAATCGTAAAAGCATGAACATCGTAAGCCTAAATTATAATATTAAACTGCATTTTGATGATACTGAAAGTTGCATTTTGAGAGTACTTCAGGAGGGTGCAAAAATCGAAAATTCTAAAAATTTTGACTTTATTGGTCTGCATGTGAAAGTGAAGAAAAGGCCAAGAAGAAACCAAAGACAAAAGTAATTGCTATCGGGGCCATGAATATCACACAATTCTCCCTAAAATCCCCCCCTCTCTCT